GGACTGGGAGGGGTGGTGGTGGGGTTTTATTGGGGTTCTTCATGGTTAAAAAATAAGTATTGGTAAAGGGAAATGTGTTTGATATTTGCATGACTGAGACCTAAACCTGAAAGCTTTGTAACCTTTCCCACAGTGATTCAATAAATAAATTTTAAAAAAAGTACTCATATTGAGTATTGAGAAACTGGCATTTTAAACATGGTGGTAAAGAAAACTTGGCTACTATTTATTTCATTTACTGCTGCAGTCTTTATTTGTGCAGAAAAAAACCCAACTAGCATTTCATTGATCATCCCCTTTACACCATTGGTGCAAAGGGGAAATAACATATTGGTATAATTATAATATAGTTTGACTTTTCAGATCTTCTGAAATTACGTTAGGTAGGGGCCCTCAGGGTTCTGCCAACTACTCTTTGAGACGCCCAAGTCTCTGGATCAGTGGGAAAGAAATGTTTCTGGTTGTCCAGATGATGGCAGTAGAAGATTTACTCAGCAGACTTGAGGCACTTGTCTTTTTTTTTTCTTTTTGGGTCACACCTGGAGACTCATAGGTGTTACTCCTGGCTCTGCACTCAGGAATTACTCCTGGCAGTGCTGAGGGGACCATATGGGATGCTGGGAATCAAACCTGGGTCAGCCGCCTGCAAGGCAAATGCCCTTCCCGCTGTGCTATCGATCCAGCCCCAAGGCACTTGTCTTTAACAGGTACAGACCACTGTTTGATCACTGTACTGAGCTAGAGGTGTTCCATTTTGTCACCGTGTACCAATGTAATTTTACACTTCTTGTCTTTCATCTCGAGTTACTTTCACAGTTGATAGGCTAATAATTTCCCAAGGAAATAAATTGCTTACTAAGAAATAAATTGGTTTGGTGTTTTGTTGTTGTTGTTGTTGTTTTGGTAAATAGTTTATGGGTGCTTGTAATTTCATGACAGAAGAATGGGTCTTAAGATGTACTGATTTTACACATAATCACAACACTTATTATCTATCATCCAAGTCCTAATCCGCTCGTACCTTCAACAAATACTTCTTGAGTCACCTGCAAAGATAAAACACACTGTAAATAGTGGGCACCTTGACAAGTCCAAAGGTGGCTGAAAGAGATAAGGCAACATAACTGAGAATAATTTGCCTCCTTGAAATTCAAGAGAAGCCAGTCGAAGACGGAGCACGATGGCCAAACCCAGTGTCTACCCTTGAGTTCATTACTGCTTATGATCGTGTGTATAGGGAAAGCAACAGTTTTGATAATCTCTTGTTAGAAATAAAGGGCTCCTTTGTGAAGCCCCTGAGGGTTTCAGCACATAATCTTGCTCTTCCCCTTTCTATTCTTCCCTTCCTGGAAAGGACATAGCAGCCAGCATAGTGTATGACAGCCCAAACTGACTCACTTCATGTATCGTGGGAGTGAGAGGTTGGAGGTGATGTAATACTACTTATATGCAAAAGAAGGGAAAAGGGTCAGAGACAGCGTTCAAAAAGCGAATGCACATGATTTTCATGCCAGAGGCCCAGGTGTGCTCCCCAGCACAGCATGGTTCCCTGAGTACTGCCTGCAATGACACCCAAGCACACACGGGGAGTTGCCCCCTAAACACCACTATATGTCCTCCCCTCCAATGGAAAGACAATTAAGCATGTCCAGAATAATGGGAATCAAATTTCTCACTGTTGGAAAAGGAAATTAGGAAGTGCAGAACTGAAATTAATGATAGAACATTAGGTTGAAACTATAAATGAGTATAAAAGAGTAAACTTAAATATCTGTATTTATTCATAAACTCGGATATAAATATGTTGAATGCATGTTACACTGCGTGTGTGTGTGTGTGTGTGTGTGTGTGTGTGTGTGTGTTCAGTCTCTGTCCTTTGGGAGGTTCTAGGAGTAACAGGGTACCATTTATTTCTCTACAACTGGATTTTGGTTTTCTCAACATTAGTCTCTACTAAAAGAAATGTTCTTTGAAGAAATAGAATATTCTAGAGTGGGAGAAAGGAATAATGATCTAAGCTAGACTTGCAGAGTCAGAAAATAAGGCATGAGAACATGTCAAAAAATACCGCTTGCCGATGCTCCTACTTTGGGGCTGGAGCAATAGCACAGCGGGTAGGGCGTTTGCTTCGCACGCGGCCAACCCGGGTTCGATTCCCAGCATCCCATATGGTCCCCTGAGCACTGCCAGGGGTGATTCCTGAGTGCAGAGCCTGGAGTAACCTCTGTGCATCGCTGGGTGTGAGCCAATAAGCAAAAATAAATAAACAGATGCTCCTATTTTACCAAGAAAAATTTTGCCTATGAGAATAGAGAGCAATAATGATTTCAAAAATACAGAGAACATAACTCACTGAGTAAAACAGAAAAATTTAAATCCATACTGGAAATAAATGAAAAAATTAAGAGAATATTTAAGTGGACGAGAATGAATACACAGTAGTTCTCAAATAACATCTTTTTAGTGTAATTGTATTGTAACTCTGATGCGTACCTAAAGAGTGCTTATATTTATGCATTGTTTAGCAGTTACATGAGCAACAGATTGTACATACAAGTGACATCCAGTGTTTCAGGTGACTTATGTGAAGTGGGGTGAAGAGAGGTCACGGCCTCAAGAAGGGAGTCTGCCAGGACAGTAGACAGAAGGGCCAGGAATACTGCCACATAGTTGGAAGCCTGCCTCAAGAGCTGGGGGAGAAGGCAGCTGGAATAGAGAGGGGATCACTAAGACAATGAAGGTTGGAGGAATCGTTCGGGATGGGAAATGTGTGTTGAAAGTAAATAAAGGAACAAACGTGATAATCTCTCAGTGTCTGCAAACCTCTGTATTGCAAACCATAATGTCCAAAGTAGAGAGTGTGGGGCAAATTGTCTGCCATGGAGGCAGGGGGAGGGTTGAAAAGGGGGGTCTACTGGGGACATTGGTGGTGGAGAATGTGCACTGGTTGAGGATGGGTGTTTGATCATTGTATGATTGAAACTTGGGCTGGAGCGATAGCACAGGAGGTAGGGAGTTTGCCTTGCACGCAGCCAGCCTGGCCGAGCCGGGTTCGATTCCTCTTCCCTCTCAGAGAGCCTGGCAAGCTACCAAGAGTATCCCACCTGCACGTCAGAACCTGTCAAGCTCCCTGTGGCACATTCAATACGCCAAAAACAGTAACAAGTCTCAAAATGGAGGCATTACTGGTGCCTGCTAGAGCAAATCGATGAATGATGAACAATGGGAGGAAAGAAGAAGAAGAAGAAGAAGAAGAAGAAGAAGAAGAAGAAGAAGAAGAAGAAGAAGAAGAAGAAGAAGAAGAAGAAGAAGAAGAAGAAGAAGAAGAAAGATCTGCCTTTCCCACCCTTGCCCTCCCACCCTGGGAAGTTGAGGCCTGAACACATAAAGTCCACTATGAACACTTGCACAGCACAAACTTTGCATCTCACCAGCCCAACACAGTACCATCAAGCTACACCTGAAACCCCCTTGATCTATGTGGTGCAGAAACTGGTCCCCACCACCTAAGTTCCCCAGAAGCCATGAATTCAGGCTGGAGTGAAGAATTGCTCTTTGCAAGAAAAATAAATTCTAAACTCTGCCCCGTCCACTGACTACCTTCACAGAAAAGAACTTCAGAAAAGGAGGTGAAGAGGAAAGTGAAATAAGTGAATCTGGGAAACATAAAAGGACAGAAAGAGAATTACCTACTGCAAGAGAGAAGGCAGACCTCTCCAGAGCGGAAAGAGCCAAGCACAGCTCTCAAGCAGAGCTGCAGGCCAACTCCCAAAATGGATAATGCACACCATACAGTCAGAGGAACAAGCTCAGGTGAAGATGCAGTGACCTCCAGAAGGCTGAGAATCACACACTCTGCCAAGTTTGTTTGCATACAGTTCTCTTACTCAAACTTCTCTCCGAAGTCTGCTGCTAGGATTGTGGTCTAGGGAGAGAGTTTGCAACTGTTGCTGGTTTATTTATTTATTTATTTATTTATTTTTCTATTCTCAGCACTGCCTTTTTTTCTTACTGTGCAGTTACTTCTCCCAGGGAGGCTAACTGAAGCCCTTTGAGTAAACCCTGCATCTGAAAGGTGTTCCGGGTTCCTCAGATGGGGCCTGAATTTTGAAGACCTCCATGCATTTGGTATGGTCTGGGTTGCCCCTGACAATAACTTTCTCTTTGCACATTATGAGGGCGCCCACCAGAACACTATCCCAGACAGCAGAGGTGTTTATGAGGTTGTGCCATCTAGGTTTGTGTCATTACACTCAGATCTCTCAAAGCAAAATCACTGACTACACTGTTTCCTGTTAAGTCTTGCATTACTGTAGTCCACTTGGTTATGAGCAGCAGTTTCCAGGAGCCTCCTGAGGACATTAAATGAGCATTTACTCCATACCCCATTAGATAACAAATCAAAATTGGTTGCTTAACGGAATACTATGAGAAAAGCACAGAATTCAGCATTGTTGGGGAGGAACATTCCTGCCTAAGATGAACTTAATCACAAGGAAATTTTTTAAAAATTTAAGAGTGTTCTATTTTTTTAAAAATAAATAAAATGTATAAAACACAATCTGGCTTGTACATAATAGTCAACAGAGTCAAGATAATGAAAACTAAGAAAAAACTGAGGAGTGAATTACCTACTGAAGGAAACTAAGTGAACAACTTATTCTCAAATGGATTTATGATAACAAACAATATGAATTTCATGGTTATTGTAGCTATATTATGTTATAGAGGACAATGTCCTAGTTTTTAGGAAATACATACACAAATTGTGGGATAGTAAAACATGAAATAGCAACTTATTCTCAAATCAAGAAAAGGGTTGGCAGGAAAAAAAAGGGGTTTGGGGAGGTGGAGGAGGAGGGTTAGGAGAGGTATGGTGCCTACAATTTTTCTGTGCATTTGAAATCATTTTCTAAATTAGAGGGTAAAAGTGTAATCACATTCTGTGTCTTGCATAAACAAGTCCAAATACAGTTCAAAGTTTCTTTCTCTTTTTTTTTTTATTATTGTGATTGGATCCAATTTAACTTAAAATTCCAAATGCTGAGCAAACAAAAATAGAATACATGTTCTGAAAAACAAAAGAGATTAATTTACAACTCTTTAATCTTTCAAAAGATAACAAGGTTAACACACGCTTAGACCTTTTACCTCTAAGAGATAAATAAATTAGCAGACAAACTTCAAGAAAAACAGCCGCCTTGTAGACTTTTTTTGGTCTACTAAAATCCAATATTGTATGGAGCCGGCGCAATATTGTAGCAGAAACCATAATTTATAAAATGGTAACTCTTATACTCAGTAATTAGAATTCCCTCCTACATGCCCTTCCAGTTATTTTAATGTATATTCTCTGAGAAAACAGACTTCTTTCTCTGACAAAGAAACTTCTTAATATACTTTCCAAACTCTCCCATTCAACACTGTTTTTTTTTTTTCAAATCATGAAAACTTCTGTCAACACTAGCTAGACTTCAGGGGTATTCCTTTAAGAAGAAACAATTTCCAAGAGATAAGATTTAACTTGTTACATATTAACATACAGTACATTTGATCACAAGCAGTCAGGTAATTACTGAAGATATTATATAGATTTTTTTTAAATATTCAATTCATTAAGTATTTACTACAAGCCAGCCTCCTGCCAGGCTTTAAACTAGATCCTGAATGCAGAAAACAAAACCCACGTGGGCATCAGCCTCACTCTTCTCATGAGTTCATCTTATATCACCACATACATCATTACACAGTCTACTGTTACAGAGCTATCCTACTAAGGATTCTCTACAAAATAAGCTTAAGGATTAAAAATATAGACCAGGAGAAGAAAGGTGTCTAAATCAAATTTGCCAAATGTCAATTAACTGTTAAAATTCTCCCAGAACAGTAGAAGTGTTCAAGTGAAAATGTGACCATTGATTTACTGCTAAGTGTTACTCTATTCTTCAAAAAAGAGCAAAGGTGCCCCCACACCCTTCTTCACCAAAAGGAAACAAAAAGTTCCATGAGAGAATAGGTTAAAAATGAAAATGAAGATTCATCTTTCAAAGTATTGTAGGAGAAATAAATGTGAGAGAGACAGAGAGAGAGAGAGAGAGAGAGAGAGAGAGAGAGAGAGAGAGAGGATCAGCTTTACCATAGAATTGCATCCAAGGGTGTGGATTATTGAAACAAGAGGAAAGCAATTTTTTTTCACCAGTTGAAAGGACAAGGCTCTCACAGAATTGCTGGCTGCCTGCTCTACTCTGCAGCCAACATAAGCAACCCATATATCATGCCCTTAGGCCTCAAGTGGGACCTTATAATCTCTTCATTTCAAATCATATTGTGCCATAAATTGGTAAGCACTACATCTGGTCAATTATTAGCCAGGTGTCATAATCATTACTTACGATTTTGATATGTGGCCAAATCCATTAAAATTTAAGTAGCACAGGCCTCTCCTGAGGAATTCCTTACCAAAGGAAAGGTTTGTTTAGTTTGTTTGGTATGGTTTCTTGTTTTGTTTTGTTTTGTTTTAAACTATGGAATACTCACCAACTAGCTGTAACCTACCCACTCCCTCCTGTAACCTTCATACTGTTATTTTAGTAAAAGTGACATTTATGAAATGAGAATTTGTAACAGAAAACAAAAATTCACTTTTCAAGAAAATACGTTCTGCTTTTTATAAATTGGGATCAGATCAAGACATTAAGCAAAATTACTAACGTAGAAACAGGGGCCAAAATCCCCAAAATGAATTTAAATATCTCATCAAATATAACAGATAAATGTGGCTAATTCGGTCTTCTGGACAAGGAAGAAGTTTGAAGCCATTCCGAGGCCTTTGATGTGTTAATAGAGATAGCTTGCTTTAATATAGATAGCCGTGGGTGCATGTCACAGATTTTCATGAACGCTACCTGCTTCTAGAGCCATGAGAGCAATCATGAAAGGGATGGAGGAGTTAAGTCAGTTCAACTAGAAGTTTCTGATTTTCTTTGTGGTGAGAGCAAAAGGGCTCCTGGAAATTGGAATCCTAGGAAAGAACTCTTAGCAGGATGTTTTGTGTTTTGCTTTGTTTTATTTCTCTTCGCTTGGGGTTGTCCACAGGTGACAACACTCAAAGGAAAGAGGCTCTCACTTTCCTGCCCTTCAGAGGCTGTGGTGGACGGTGATTGCTCAATAAAAAAGCCGCTGCTTCCCCTTCGGCAGTACAGAGAAGGCTCCGGAACGTGGCCAGCTGTGGGAGGAAAAGAGGAGAGTTCGTTTCAGCAAAGAGAATCAGAGTCATGTTAGTAAATTCCCTGCAGCAGAAGTTAAGAAGCATATAACTTTACCAAGAACTGGAAACGACATTTTCTTTTTTTTCTTTTCCTTTTTTTCTTTTTTAATTAATTAATTAATTTTCTAATTTTATTGAATCATAACACAGCGGGTAGGGCGTTTGCCTTGCACGCAGCCGACAGGGCCAACCCGAGTTTGAGTCCTCCGCTCCTCTCGGAGAGCCCAGCAAGCTGCCGAGAGTATCTTGCCCGCAAGGCAAAGCCTGGCAAGCTACCCGTGACTATTCAATATGCCAAAACACAATAACAACAAGTCTCACAATGGAGATGTTACTGGGCCCACTCGAGCAAATCAATGAACAATGGGAGGACAATGCACAGTGCCCTTCCCACCGTGAAATAGACACAAGCGTTCATGTTTGGGTTACAATCACACAATGATCAGACAACCATTCCTCCACCAGTGCACACTCCCCACCACCAATATCCCCGGTATACCCCTCCATTCCCACCCTCCCCCTGCCTCCAAAGCAGACATGATTCCCCATAATATCTCTCTACTTTGGGGCATTATGGTTTGCAATACAGACCCTGAGAGGTTATCATGTTTGGTCCTTTATCTACTTTCTGCAGACATCTCCCATCTCAACCGATTCCTCTAGCCATCATTTTCTTAGCGATCCCTTCTCTATTCCAGCTGCTTTCTCCCCTTTGCTCATGAGGCAGGCTTCCAGGTATGGAACAATCTATATGTCCCATGTATCTACTATGTTTAGGTGTCAGCCTTATGTTCTGTTGTTTTTTACTCCACAAATGAGTGCAGTCCTTCTATGTCTGTCCCTCTCTTTCTGACTCATTTCACTTAGCATGATACTCTCCATGTCTATCCATTTATAAGCAAAGTTCATGACTTCATGTCTCCTGACAGCTGCATAGTATTCCATTATGTAGATGTACCAAAGTTTCTTTAACCAGTCATCTGTTCTAGAGCACTTGGGTTGTGGAAACGACATTTTCTAAGCAATGTATGATGAAGCAACTTCTCTGCTGAATTTCCCCACTGTGTAAATACTAAGAGGTTCTAAACACATATGAATTCTTTATTTGAAAATATATGTAAGTATTTTATTTGAAGATAGAAGTAGCAAAAGGAAATTCTACTTCAAATGTGATATAAGTAGGATGCATTTAGAAGCAGAGGATGGTGTCTGCAGTGGGTCAGTGGGAAGAGCACTATACTGGAGTTTGGAGCAGGTCCTGACCCTAATTCAGCCAAGAACCAGCTGTGTGACCTTGGGGAAATAATTTATTGGCTCTAGTCTTCAGTATTCTTATCAGAAAGCGAAGCATTGGTTGAGATTACCTCAACTGGCGTCTTCCTCTTCTTAGAATTTCACTGCACACTTGCAAGGACTCTGATATAAGATGGCCCCAGTTCTTGGGAACCATGTGATTAGTTCATTCAGAGAACTTTGGTCATTCCTTTACACAAGAATTTTGTTTTCACTATATATATATAGTGAAATATAAATATATTTCTTTTTGGGTCACACCAGCAATGCTCGGGCAGGGGTTACTCCTGGCTCTGCACTCAGGAATTACTCCTGGCGATGCTTGAGAGGACCATATGGAATGCTAGCAATCGAACCCGGGTCGGCCACCTGAAGGCAAACACCCTACCTGCTGTGCTTTTGCTCCAGCCCCAAATATATATAGGTATATAATATATATGTATAATACCTATATATAGTTAAAAAAAAGTCTAGGACCCTTCTTTCAATGTAAGTGATATAGACATATTTCTCAACAAAAGGGTTTCAGTTTGCTTTGTTCTCAAAAACAAACTGTTAATGTTACAAACTTCGTATATGAAAAGAATCAAGAAGAAATAGAAATTACTAATAATCACAGAACAGTTAGAATCACTGTTAGCACACACACACACACACACACACTTGATATGCCTCATTACCGAAATGAAGTCAACAATATATGCACCTTTGAAACCTTATTTTTGTATTTAATACATATCCTAAGTATCTTTGCATACGAACAAGCATTGATTTATGCCACTATTTTTAATAGCTGAGAATTTTTCCATTACAATCATCAGTTAAAATTACCACTTAACTTTCCTTGGTGATTTTTATTATTTTTTTAAAAATTAAACATGATTTGAGACTGGAGAGATAGGACAGTGGACAGGGAACTTGCCTTGCATAAGGCCAACCCAGATTCTAGGCGTCAGTACCAGTATCTCCTGTTAAAACTAGATGTGACTTTAGTCGTTCCCTAGGAAACCAAGCAGCAAAGACTAAGAATGTCTGGAGCCACAGCAGGGGACAGTCAGGCTCCTGCAAATTAGGGGAATCGGGGCTTGTCTGGAGTGACCACTTCAGGGGGCTGTTCCCATCCTGAATCTGAATTAAGAAAACGACCCTTTGGCCTCTCCAAGTACAATCAACCTCACACAGAAAAGGAGGATTCCTCTGCAGATCGTGACTTTGTGTATTGGTATACCCCCCCCCCCCCCCCCAACCACCACCACCACCTTTGAACTCCTCTGGAGGTTAATTCTAACTTGGCCTCATTCATCCCAAACTAAAACTTTCTCTCTTATTTTTTTCTTTTTGGGTCACACCCAGCGATGCACAGGAGTTACTCCTGGTTCATGCACTCAGGAATTACCCCTGGTGGAGCTCAGGGGACCATATGGGATGCTGGGAATCGAACCTAGGTCGGCTGCGTGCAAGGCAAACGCCCTACCCGCTGTGCTCTTGTTCCAGCCCCTCAAACTGGAACTTTCTCTGATTATTACTTTGGCCAGCACGCTCTTCTGGGTAAGACTCCATTAATAAAATCTGTCTTGATATCTCATAAAATCCCTCTGCTCTCTGACAGTGAATCTCCCTCCCAATGACTTCGCCCACCTAGATAAGCCCCACATGGGCCAGTAGCCCCCGGACTTGCTTCTTGTGGCTTGGTGTTCTCTGACTCTTCCCTGGTCTTGCCGTGTCTGCCACCGGCTGGCGCCTACTGGGCTCATCTCTCACTCATCCCCGCTTTGTTCAAGCATTCCCGCAGAACGTATGCCCCACCTGAGCCCCTATCACTAAGTCTCTCTTGGCGTTTCACAACTCCGGGAGGAGTTTCCCCAGAGCAGCCTGGGTGTGACTAGAACCTGTTTCCTTGTTTCTTTTGGCGCTACCTGTGAACCTTTCATTTCCTTGTGGGGTAACCCCAGTAGGTAGCTCCACTCATCGCTCATGTTTTGTAAACACCATTTATTCTGCCACTTTAGTGCTCAAATTAATTAATCTTCACTGCAAGCCAAAGTTGGGCAATAGTAAGGTAAGCTCTCTTATGACACATTGAAGGCCCTAACACATGTGTTAAGTTCTTTATGTGAATTATCTCATTCAATCTCCCAATCGAATCATTAACATATTATTATCTCCATTTTAAAAAAAAATAAGAAAAGGTGAGAGACAAAATTCTAATGATAGCAACTAATTGTCATTGTATAGAGCTCCAAGAAACATAAGGAAATGTCTCGGTGAAGGACTCATGTAATTTGATTGTAGTGGTTGTTACATGATAATATTTAATAGGTATGTAATATAGATACTCGTGTAAAGATATATAATGTACATATGTGTATATACATATATATGTATTATCTATATACACATAGTGTGTATATGTACACGAATATTAACTTTAGCCAAAAATTTGTAAACTTTTCTCTACACAAATATTGGAGCAAACAAAAGCCTTTTTTAAAGAAACACAGAATCAAAGTCAAGTATCTGCATGCTGAATTGTAGCAGATGAGTGAGCCAATTTACATTGTTTAGAATAAACCAGAGATTTAGGAAAAGTCAGCTTTCCAAGGGAAACAATAATCCTATTATAGAAAGCACCAGAAAGCATGTTATCTGTTCACTGGCATGGCTGTTAAATTAAGCATTTCAGTAAGTGACGCAGAGAGAAAATCGAATTTAAATCAAGAAAAAGAAAATAAAAACCATCTGATTTTCCTTTTTTGGTCAGAGTGACTTGGTCAAAAAAAAATTAGTAAGAGGAAAACATAGGAAAAAATGGCACCAACATACTAAAATGAAAACTCAATCTTCACAGCTCATAAAATTACACGGTGACATAGAAACATGAATACAAACAATGTTTCCTAGTGATTTTGAAAATAATGGGTGCCAAAACTGATTCATTCATTCATTCATCATCCTGTTATTCGTCGATTGCCTTGAGCAGGCCCCAGTAACGTCTCCTTCATCCTAGCCCTGAGATTATATTCAAGGCTCTTTAGGAGAATGAGACCCATCATTGTTACTGGTATTTGGCATATTTGGTACGCCACGGGGAGTTTGCCAGACTCTGCCCTGTGGGCAGGCTACATTCGATAGCCTGCAAGTTTGTCCAAAGTAGGAATGAGATAATAAGATGTCATAAAAATATGTCCTAAATTGATATTTAAAATTTTTCTGAGAGTAATTTTTTTATTTCTTAAATCAATTGTATTCACAACTGATATTTTTATGTATCACTTTATGGAAAGAGCTAAGCAACTAGATAATCTTCTCAACCTTCTCATATTTGGGGTTTTTGGTTTCTTGGTTGTTGTGGGGGACCCAAAGTAGTGTTTAAGTGATGCAAAGGTCCCTTTGGGCAAGTCTCCCAGGGTGAGTCACATACAAAAAAGCACTTTATCAGGCTTTGGATCTTTAACTAAACTACAGAACACTTTTAGATTCACAGAATTATAAATCATGCTTCTCTAATAAAATTAAAAGTAAAATATGCTAATAGAGGGGCCAGAGAGGGGGGTTCAAGAATTTTCCGTGCATGTGGCGTACCTCAGTTTGATTGCCAGCACCACATACGGTCCTCTGTGCACCTCCAGGAGTGACAATGCCTGGAGTAAGCCCTGAGCACAGCTGTGTGTCATCCAAAATCTCATCCCATCCCCATAAAAATACTATGAAGAGCTCTTACAGACATCACACTCATTTTCCCCTGCTATTAATACGATAAATAAGTATGGAACATTTTCACTATTAATGAGTCAATATCAATATATTATAATTAATTCAAATTCATTCTTAACTTATTGTCCTCTATCTGTTTCAGGATCTCATCAGGAACAGCATTACACAAAGTAGTCACGTCCAGTGGGAATTCATGATTTCAAACTTGCTTTTGATGACCCTAATGGTTTTGAGGAGTACAGATCAGGTGCTTTGTAGGATGTCTCTTGATAGACTTTTATCTCTTTCTCATGGGAGACAGGTGAATCAGCTGGAATAAGAGTTAGAGGTGTTGAAATGGGGCAGGGGGCCACTCCCAAGCAATACTCGGGGCATGGGGAGGAAGGGGAGACCAGAGGGGCCACCCCAGCTATACTCCACCCCAATGGCTCAATGCTCACCCAAGCAATGCTACTTAGACCTTGTAGAGACAGGGACCACCAGGCCCATGGCTGTAATGACCATGCTTGAGAACTGCCTAGGGATGCTGCTGGCCATAGAGTCCCAGGATCAAGCCAGGACTGCGGGGCTGGAGCAATAGCACACGGGGTAGGGCATTTACCTTGCACACGGCCAATCCAGGTTCGATTCCCGGCATCCCATATGGTACTTAGAGCACCACTAGAAGTAATTCCTGAGTGCATGAGCAAAAAATAACACCTGTGCCTGGGTCAGCGGCGTGCAAGGCAAACTCCCTACCCACTGTGTTATCGCTCCAGCCCCTCAGATTAAATTTTTAATGTATATTTTCCTTTGATCTTTAGCTCTTAGACTCTCCATAATGTCATCTCATAATAATTGAAGGAGCAATAGCACAGTGGGTAGGGCGTTTTCCCTGCACGCAGCCAACCTGGTCCACCCGGCCAACCCAGGTTCGATTCCTCCGCCCCTCTCGGAGAGCTAGGCAAGGTACCGAGAGTATTTCACCAGCATGGCAGACCCTGGCAAGCTACCAGTGATGTATTCGATATGCCAAACACAGTAACAAATGTCACAATGGAGATGTTACTGGGCCCGCTTGAGCAAATAAGGAACAACGGGAGGACAGTGACAGTGACTTAGGTTATCTTTGTAATCTGTTTTAAAGTTAAAATGTCTAAAAAATGTTCTTGCTACAATTGATTTAAGTTAATTAAATCACTCAAAGGTAAATTACCCATCACACAAAAGCTAAAAAAATACAATGACTATTTAGATGTTTTACTGTTTTAGAAAATACCTTAAATTAAACAGTGATAGGGTGTTTGCCTTGCAGGTGCCTGACCCAGGTTTGATCCCTGGCACTCAATATGGTCCCCTGAGCCCACTAAAAGTGATTCCTGAGTGCAGAGCCAGGATGAGTCCTAAGAACTACTGAGTGTGTCCCCCCCAAAAAAAGACAATAATAATATTAACTGAGTCTCATGTAGAATAGATAATGAATCCACAGTTAGGCAGTTATAATTCCTAAATATTCAGAGAGTTATTTTTGACATGGCCAGTCCTATTAATAAAACTAAATTATATATTTTGATATATTCTTTTCCAAATTACAAGTCCTTCTTAAAAAATAACTTGCTTTCTAAGTAACTTTAGAGAATAAAGATATCCTTAAAATACCCGGGAAAACATGGGCCCTTCTTATTACTATCTTGATGTTAACATTCATTCAGGAACTCATACAATTAACCTGTTCACATTTAACAAAGGAATGCAAAAGACTAACAGGGAAAGAACCAGAGGGTAGCAATATGTGTTTGTTAATAAGGCCACTGAATCAGTGACACATCACTTTTCTCTTGACCTTATTTATGATAGAAAAAAATAAATCACAGGAATTTCCATGTCAATCAAGCTCTGGATTTCTAATCTAACTTTCAACGTGTTTTAATAAGTATTTGAATAGTAGACCACAGGCTAGTATTTACTTTTCATAACTAAAGACAGGTTCAAAAGAAGTTGGATGTCTTCACTACTTAAAGGGAAATGCCACTTGATGTGAGCGTGGTAAATGCGAACAAGTTCTAGTCTTTTCTTGGGGTGTGGGAGTAAGAAAGGGCTCAGGTGGTGATTATTCCTAGAAAAGAAGTACTGGACTAGCTGCAGAAATTGCTGGATTGTGTTAATATTAAGATTTTACATCACTGTGCTGAAAGTAGAAAAAGGACCAAACATGATGGCCTTTCAGTATCTGCATTACAAACCATAAGACCCAAAAGTAGAGAGTAAGAAGGAAATTGTCTGCCATAGAGACAGGGGGTGAGGTGGGGTGGGGTGGCGGGAGGGATACTGGGGACATTGGTGGTGGAAAATGTACATTGCTGGAGGGATGGGTGTTTGATCATTGTATGACTGAAATTCAAACATGAAAGCTTTGTAACTGTATCTCGTGGTGATTCAATAATAATAATAATAATAAAAAGATTTTACATCACTTCATTCAATAAGTGAAACAAAACAGAACCCTAAGTGCAGCAACCAGAAAACCCAGCATCTCCCTGTAACTCATAGATCAAGTCACAAGGCTCATAGGTCTGAGTAGTTTGTGCATCGAAAGCATCCTGAACTTGGGGTCTACTTGGTGGGCCACGCCTGAGGCTCAATGAGCATTATCAGTCAAGCAAATAAATTCATGTCTTTACTAGAACCACACATCACACCAAAGCCTCTTAGTAAATGCCTAAGGCCCCTCAGGCAGCTCTTCCAAAATTCTATTAACAAAAGCCAAAACATCAGATTAAGTTCTCAAATTTCTTAAGGCACCCCACCTATCTCTGTCTTCACTCTGTGCAGGCAAAGCCTGTAGGCTGAGCTGATTTAGGTCTAGGTCAGCTAAGGCAATGAAGGAGAATGACACCCTTTTAAAACTGTGCCTCTCCTCGTTTTAAATTTTGTATCCCAGTTTATTGTCACATAAACAGCAGAAAATACAAGCAAACGGTTATAACATTCAGGAGGTCACTTCCCTTCACTCTACATTTCTAAAATGTGGGAAATTCACAGAAGTTTCTCTGCTCGTAGAAGTAAAGAGGAGCATGCATCTTATCCAACTTCCACTTAAATAATCAAAGGAAAAAACAATTTCCTTTGGCAGATGCCAGGAGTAGGGCTGCTTTCCTTTTTTTCCCCTATCAGCCTGGTTTCCTCTAATGAATCGGATCTGTCTGGAAGAGAGACTAACCTGTTGAGAGCTGATGTTTATCGGTTGTTTTAAAACAATCCAAGTGACACTCTCCAGAAGAGGGGGGACAGTAAGAGAACCAGGATATGTCCAGTAGTCCCAGGATGGAGGAAGTAGAGATATTGGGTCAAAATTGGTGAATCGAGTTTGTTTGCCCTAGTGGAGAAAAGAGAATTTCCACAAATTAGCATTCGATAGCTTTACAAAGACCTCAACCACCAAGCATCCAATCAAAACATTATTTTATTGGCACCAATGTGTAAAAGTAATTAACAGCTGCCTTAACACAGTGACACTGGTCCTGCAATTTGTTTTAAGCCAAATTCAAGTGTGAGTCATTGGTGATACTCATTGGCTTCAACTTGATCTAAAATTTGTAGCCCATTATCTAGGTTTATTTAAGAAACACAAGATTTCTTTAAACATCGTGGTCTTTAAGCTGTGTTGCAAGTAAAAAAAAAAATCCTATAAAACACCAATACCTAAAGTTAATCATGCATAGATTTATTGCTGATTATTTTAGATAGTTAAGTCCTTCTCATGATTTTAATGACTAAAAGTAATAGTTTTCGATAGCACAGCGTGTAGGGCATTTGCCTTGCATGCGGCCGACCCGGCCGACCCAGGTTCGATTCCTCCACCCATCTCAGAGAGCCCAGCAAGCTACCGAGAGTATCTCGCCCACACGGGAAAGCCTGGCAAGCTACCCGTGATGGATTTGATATGCCAAACACAGTAACAAGTGTCACAATGGAGACATTACTGGGCCCACTCGAGCAAATCAAGGAACAACGGGAGGACAGTGACAGTGACAGTAACAAAAGTAATAGACTCCTTCTTCTCCCATTGGTCAATATCTTCCAACTTTGTTTGAAAGCAGATAGCAATGTGCTATATCTAAGGTCTAAATTTCTCCAGAGGATAAGGAAATTCTTGAGGAAATGGGTATTTCATTTTTCATTAACAATAGTAATTCGTTTTACCTTTTCTTTAATGGAATCCAAAATGTCAGTAATCTTCTGCAACTGTGAATTATGTTCACCAATCTGAAAATGGAAAATTTTTAAAATAATGTTAATTTTTTTGGAAAAAAAAGAAAAAAAGAAAGAAAGAAAAAGGCCTAAGCTAGTACAGAACAAACAGGAATTGTTGTGCTATAAAGCTCTCTTTTACCTCAGTCTGTTCTTATCATACCCAAGAATCTGAACAAGATAATATTACAAGACTCCTTGGCTGAACTGCAAGATTGATTCCAAAACCAGTAGCAATAGTTTCAGATTTCTTCAAATTTATGTTTGTGGTATATGAGAGAAACCTGACTTAGAAAACCTGCTCTCCTAAAGCAGGCGTGAGCCTCAGACCCTACATCCAAACAAATTACCTTGACATCAAAACATTAAAGAAAAGCATCTCTCACTTGTTGCCTAATGTGATTTAAGTTCCCTAATCAAGGCAAAATACCAGAAACAGAATTCATCAGAAAAATACATGGGTGGCTTTTCATTATTAGGGGCGTCCCAACTCTACTTGAAATAGTAGATTTTTTTTTCTTTTTGGGTCACACCCAGCAATGCTGAGGGGTTATTCCTGGCTCTGCACTCAGGAATTACACCTGGCGGTGCTTGCAGGACTATATGGGATGCTGGGAATCAAACATGGGTCGGCCACGTGCAAGGCAAATACCCTACCCACTGTGCTATCGCTCTAGCCCCCCAAATCTACTTGAAGCTGTTAAATTATTTGGGACTGAAATATAACTCTTGTACCACTCTGATTGTACCATCATCACCAACCAGGATGGCCAAGAGAAAGAAGTATTGTCATCCCAACCACCCTCCACACCGATCTACACACTCCCTGGGCCCAGCCCAACAATTACATCAGACAGACTTGGTGGTACAGCAGCTGTGTAAACCCAACAAGGATGTGGGAAGTTCTGTGGTCCAGTCACCCACAGATAGTATCACACTGATATTTGTGTTACCACATGGGAATAGAGGACAATGGAAAATACCTTTCTAATTAAATTGGTTTGTGTGTTCAGGACAACAAACCATTGTAGTCAAACTAGTGCTTCAAGAATCAGGAACTTGAACACTTATATCAGGAAGGAATGTAAGAATCAGGAACTTTACTCTGTGTTTTTTAAATATTAGGTAATGGGGAAGAGTTTGGAATAAAGACATTCTTCTCAGGACCTCAGCTGTAACTCTGATGCTACTGTTGTCATCACAGTCACATAAAAGTGATTCATGAACAATAAGAAGAGTCATACTACAATGCTCCCAGGGTAATCCAGGGCCTTTGGGTGGATCATTAACTAATATATAAAACTTTAACGTTCCTAAAAATAATATTGTCATATATTAAATAATTTAATATAGAATAATTTCATGATGAAGTAGTCGTAAACGGTCTACTCCATGACTAAAACTCTTCATTCCTCATCACTGATGAATTATTTGAAATAGCGGATTCTCACCTGTAAAAATACTCCCAAAACAGCTAATCCATCTGGCTCATGTGCGGCCTCAACGAAGCTGGGATATTTTTCTGAATTCCAATGGACAACGTGGAGCTGAAAGAAACATAGACAACAGAACCTAGACGTTTTAAAACGCAGAAGCACATACAGACTCGAGCTGTTGCTCTGAGGCTGGCCACTCTTATGTATAACAATCCCCCATTTCACTCCTGTCCAAACGCAAAGCACAAGCGAAGGACCGTCCACGGTTACTAGACAGCAGTGTACTACATCAAGGTCTGCATCAGCATATCACATTCCCCGGATTATCTCAAGTTCCAACTGTGCCCAGCCACTGCTCCCAAGTGACGTGGAACTGGTCCTAATCTTCCAGAGATGATATTCGACGGGAGCGACTTCAGATCCGTTCCCAGGGGCAGCAGAGTGACCCAGAGAGCACAGCCTCATACACAGGCAGAGAAGTCAACTGCCTGTGCAAATAGTTTTCAGGGACAATCCTGCCGCTAAGCACAGTCCCAGAGACTCCAGTTTACCCAACCAGAGGGCAAACGCTGCACTTTCACACTTTTCCCTTCCCCAGGTCCACGCTGTCTCTACCTAGCTGATCATGTCTCTGATTTTCTTCTGTTCGTTTCCACAGAGCGGCTGCTAACTTTTGCACAGCGCAACTTCTTCCACAGCCACTCACCAGCCCCGACTGCATTCTGCATGTCAGTCATCCATGAGACTGCTCCTCAGTGCGCTCTCCCCTCCCATTTCCCTTCCCCAAAGGTCAATAAATAGATTTTATTTTATTATTTCCTTTTTTTGGGCTGTGCGAACGAAGGTGGGGTTTGGGCCACACCCAGCTGTGCTCAGGGCTTACTCATGACTCTGTGCTCAGGGATTACTCCTGGCAGGATCAGAGGACTATAATGAGGTGCCGGGGGTAAATCCCCTGTTGGCTACATGAAAGGCAATCGCCCCACCCTCTGTACTATGGCTCTGGCCCCAAGGCGACAGATTTTCCCAAAGTCATCAGCTTCCCTTGAGCAAAGAGATGGCACCAAGAGTTGGTAAATGGCAGCTAGAGTTAGGGAGAGAAATGTTGATAAATAAAATTTATTATAAATGGAGTCAGACAAACTAGGCCTTGCACTGTAACTCTCTACTAGCTGTGTGTGTGTGTGTGTGTGTGTGTGTGTGTGTGTGCGCGCGCTTGTGTGTGTGTTTAATTGTCTTGAAATTTATTGTTCCATTTTGGTTGTTACTGATTTAGATAAACGCTGAAGAATATTTGTGGGGTTTTGTATTGCTCTCCCCAAGCCCATTTTCTCTGCAGTTACCCTTACTTCTATATCTATGTCCACTGATTAGGCTTTTTCTTTTAACTTTTCATCAGTTTTGCCCTTATATCTCACACCTATGAGCAATAAAATAATCCAACACTTGACTTTTACTTTCGACTTATTTTGCTTTATAGTCCCTTGATTTTCTTACATCTTAGTGTGACTGGCAATATTTTATCTTTTAAGTAGCTGAATAGTATTTCATTATATAAATACACCAAGTCTTATTTAATCAGTCATTGGCTGCCAGTGGGTACTTTGATTGTTATTTCCTTTTAGTTATTACTAGCATTCAGTTATTGCAGAATAAGCATTGGGGTCTGTATAACTTTGTGTTCTTTTCATATTCTTCAGATAGCTACCCTGGGGTGGGATTGGGACTGTTGAATCATACAGTCACTCTACCATCCACTGCTTTTTGAGGAAGTTTCACTGCATTTTCCAAATATTTGTACCCACTTGCATTCCCACCAACAGTGCATGAGAATTCCTTTTCCATCAAGCCCTCTCCAACACTTGCTATTAGTTTTCTCTCATGTAACCATTCTCACAGCTGCAAGGCAGCTTCTCACTGTGGTCTTCATTTGCCTTTTCCTGATGATCAGTGATGAGGAACATTGTGTTTTTAATTTGACTATCAGTCATTCACGTGTCTTTATTGAAGAGTTATTCAACTTTTATACCGATTTTTTAAAATCTAAGGTGGCTGTTACTGTTATTAAGTTGTATGAGTTCTTTATAGGCCTTGAATATTTACCCTTTGTCAGATGTATGATATCTTCTTCTACTCAGCATGACTGTCTCTCATTTGTTTATATTTTAGTTTGCTGCACAAATCATTTCAATTTAATGGAGTCCAAATTCTTTATCTTTACTTTCATTTTCCTTGCTCATGAATACTTCCTTGCAAGTGCTCCCAGACTTCCACTGCCAATGTCATGGAAAATTTCATCTGTTATCTTCTATGTACTTTATGATTTTAGGTAGTTAAAGTCATTTTAATGGCTTGAAAACACAAGTTGACTAACTATTTTAAGGAGTACTTACAAAGGTCCTGCCTTCCATAAATATGTTCTGCTCCATTAGTGAAAGCAAGTTTTAGTGGAGAAATAGGGGCATCGGGTCTAGGAAACAGATGTCTAAGAAAGAAATTGAGAAGAAGCTGATTCTTCCAAGGAGGAAGAAAATGGAAGGAGGAGAAAGAGAAGGAGATGGAGGTACCTGGAGCTCTAGAAAACAGGCTTTTACCACACAACTCCATCATCATGTACATGGCCTTTGGCAAAATCCAAAAGTGTTACTTTGACCATTGTAAATAATGTTTTATCTCAAAAAAGAAGAAGGAGAGTGAAAAGAGTAAAGAATAATAATGAGGCAGAAAAACATTCTTGGGATCTTTATTCCCGATTAAGGGAAGGACAAACTAAGGTAGGACTCAAAGAGCAATGTGACGCACCCAACTAGTTTGAGCAAAATCATGACTAATCCACATAATTCTAGAACCATTTTTGAGGTGCTGATAAGACCTCCTTCATGTGAATCATTGGAGTGCATACAGAAGAAAACAGAATTTCACATCCAAATAACTTTTTATAGTTCATTGCTAGAGAATTTAGTTTATTCAAACATAAAAGGTAAAGGTAAAGGTAAAGGCCCTCCCGTTAATCGTCGATTCGCTCGAGCGGGCCCAGTAACGTCTCCATTGGAGACTTTGTTGTTACTGTGTCTGGCATATCGAATACTCTTGGTAGCTTGCCGGGCTCTCCGAGAGGGGCGGAGTAATCGAACTCGGGTCGGCCATGTTGGCCGCTTGTAAGGCGAACGCCCTACCCGCTGTGCTATCATAATATTTTTTTATTCCTTCCCTTAAATATAAATGTACAGGAACTGGAGAAATAGTACTGTGGGTAAGGTGCTTTCTTCCACACAGCCAACCAGGGTTTGATCCCTGGCACCTGTTATGGTCCCCTGAGTCTCACCAGGAGTAATCCCCAAGCATAGAGCCAAGAGTAAATTGTAAACACCACTGGGTGTGGCCTCCCAAAACCAAGCAAAAAATAAAGAAACAAATATAAATATATAATATAAGTGCACATTTTAAGACAACTAAGATGATAGGATCCCTATGTAACTAAGATTTATCATGAAGGACTGACTATAATTATAAAAGAATGTACCATCCAGAGCTGGAGAATTAGGACAGTGTGAAGGACACTTGCCTTGCATGTGGCCAACTCGGTTTCAATCCCTGCCACAACATGTGGCCCTTCCCCTGAAGCCCACCAGAAGTGATCCCTGAATGCAGAGCCAAGAGTAAGCACTGAACAGTGGTGGGTGTGCCCTCTCCCAAAAATTATACCACCCACGAACAATGTAGCATGATAGAAAGTCTCCCATATAGAAAATAAAATAGAAAAAATATTTAAATACATGCAATAGAAAAATATATAAGTAGAGTCCTGTGGAATTATGTTTTAAGTTGATGTGGGAGAGCTGGAGGAGGAACAAACCCTGAAAACACGGGGTGATGAAACAAAATTAATTTGGCACATAAGAGACAGATGAAATTCCACTGCCAGGGAGGAGCTGAAAAGAATGTTAGAGTTGTTTTAAATGGCTTCATGCCAATGTATCAGTTCACTTAGCAAGAGATAACACTCGAGGTAGAAAGAAAAAGAAAGAAATGGGTCCTTTGGACTTACAAACAAAACTGATCAGGGAACAGAAACTTTCTCAAAGAAGAAATCCGAATGCTAAAAGACACATGAGAAAATGCTCTACATCACTAATCATCAGGGAAATGCAGGTCAAAACAACAATGAGATACCATCTCACACCACAGAGACTGGCCCACATCCAAAAGAACAAAAGCAACCCGTGTTGGCACAGATGTGTTGAAAAAGGGACCCTCCTTCACTGCTGGTGGGAATGCTGACTGGTTCAGCCCTTTTGGAAAACAGTATGAACGATTCTCAAAAAATTAGAAATTGAGCTCCCGTTTGACCCAGCAATACCACTCCTGAGGATATATCCCAGAGAGGCAAAAAAGTATAGTCGAAGTGACATCTGCACTTCTATGTTCACTGCTGCACTGTTCACAATAGCCAAAATCTGGAAAAAACCCGAGTGCTCAAGAACAGATGACTGGTTAAAGAAACTTTGGTACATATACACAATGGAGTACTATGCAGCTGTTAAAAAGATGAAGTCATGAAATTTACACATAAGTGGTTCTGCATGGAAAGTATCATGCTAAGTGAAATGAGCCAGGAAGAGAGGGACAAACATAGAAAGATTGCATTCATCTGTGGAATATAAGGTAACGAAATAGGAGACTAACACCCAAGAATAGTCAAGATAAGTACCAGGAGGTTCGCTCCATGACTTGGAGGCCAGCTGCAAATGCTGGGGGGAAAGGCAGCTCAGATAGAGAACGGAGCACCAAGTAAAGGGTGTTGGAGGATTCGCCCAGGATGGAAGATGCATGCTGAAAGCAGACTATAGACCAAACATGATTGCCATTCAATGCCTCTTTTGCAAACCACAACACCCCAAAGGAGAGAGAGAACAAAATGGAATGTCCTGCCACAGAGGCGGGGTGGGATGGGGGGGGGTAATGGGAGGGATACTGGGATCATTGGTTGTAGAGAATGGGTACTGGTGGAGAGATGGGTACTCGATCATTGTACAACTGAAACCCAAGCACAAAAATTTGTACGTCTACAACTGTACCTCATGGTGTTTCACTAATAAAAATTTTTAAAAAACTGGTCAGTAAATAAATGTGTAATGAGAGACAGAGAGAGAGATGAATCTATATTTTCTGTGTTGATTAACCAATTACTATTTTGTATAAGAAAAAACTTTTTATTTTAAAGATCTTGCTCTTAAGTTGCTTAATAGACATAAAAAATACTTTCAGTGGGGGTATGGTGCCGCCAGCAGGTCTATCTGTACCTGTGAGGCGAGTGCATCAGCAGCCTAATGGCGCCTTCAGACTTCCAGATACCCCAAAATTGCTGCTGTGCCTTTGGCCAGACCCAAAAAACTTGGGGCAAAGTTTACCAAGAAAGTAAACAGCCAAAAGTTAGGTATGTGGGAAACACACCCACAAACCACCTCTGGCTCAGCTATATACTTGGAGGCACGGTCTCTCTGGTTCCTGATCAAATTGCTTAACGGCCAGGATCCCAGAGACTCAGAAACAAATCTCGAAACCCAGCGGCTTTTGGCAGAAATGCATCTGGACTCTGCAGTATTGGTGCTGGGTCAACCCAGGTGGGAATAGGTTTTGTGCCTTGGCAAGTTCCCCCTGGTGGCCCAGTGACCGCCATCCTTCAGAGGCCACTTGACAGTCAGGTTTGGGCCCCCAGTGATGAGACACGCAGAGCCTCATGGGATGGGGCTGGAGCCGGTCCTGTCCTCCCCACCCCAGTGAGACCCCAAGTCATCGCCCACAAATGGCCTCTCTGGCTCCTGATCAAGCTGTTTAATGGCCATATATCCCAGAGACTCAGAAACAAATCTCGAAACCCAGTGGCTTTTGGTAGAAATGCGTCCGGACTCCACAGTACGTTACTGTCGCTGGGCCACCCCAGGGGGAAGGTGTTGTCACTCCGCCTGCTCCCTCTTGGCGGCTCGGTGGCCGTCATCCTCCAGAGGCCATTGGACAGTCAGGCTTAGGCCCGCAGGGACAAAACTTGTTGGGCCTCACGGGATGAGGGGGGAGCCTGGCCTGTCCTCCCCACCCCAACGAGACCGCAAGTCATCACCCATGAATGACCTCTCTGGCTCCTTATCAAGCTGCTTAATAGCCTTGTTCCCAGAGACTCAGAAACAAATCTTGAAACCCAGCAGCTTTTGGCAGAAATGCGTCCGGACCCCACAGTATGTTACTGTCACCGGGCCACCCCAGGGGGGAAAGGGTGTTGTCTCTCCACCTGCTCCCCCTTGGCGGCTCAGTGGCCATCAGACTCCAGAGGCCATTGGACAGTGAGGTCTGGGCCCACAGTGATGAGACATTTTGGGCCTTACGGGATGGGGAGGGAGCCGGGCCTTCCCCATCCCAATGAGACCCCAAGTCATCGCCCACGAACAGCCTCTCTGGCCCCTGATCAAGCTGTTTAATGGCCATGATCCCAGAGACTCAGAAACAAATCTTGAAACCCAGTGGCTTTTCATAGAAATGCATCCGGACCCCACAGTACGTTACTGTTGCCGGGCCACCCCAGGGGTAAAGGGTGTTGTCCCTCAGTCTGCTTCCCCCTGGTGGCTCGGTGGCCGTCATCCTCCAGAGGCCATTGTACAACCAGGCTTGGGCCTGCAGTGATGAAACTTGTTGGGCCTCACGGGATGGGGATTGGTCCAGGCCTGTCCTCCTTACCCCAACGAGACCCAAAGTCATTGCCCATGAATGGCCTCTCTGGCTCCTGATCAAGCTGCTCAACGACCATGATCCCAGAGACTCAGGAGCAAATCTTGAAACCCAGTGGCTTTTGGCAGAAATCCCTCCAGATTTAAGTGTTAAAATTTCGGAATTTCAAAATCACATGGCCCTACTGCAGCCACGCAACATCGTATGTTATTCATAACCAGCAATAGAACACAAATTGTCTACTGTTGCTTTTTCAGTAGATCCTAGTGTTGGGGTAAAATCTCAAATAATAATGGTGGGTCTGGTGTCAAAATATTGAATGTGTTCAAAGTAGAGAGAGAGTAATGTGGAAATCATCTACCCCACAGGTAGGGGGAGGGTGTGGAATGGGGGTATACTGGGGTTTTTGGTGGTGGAGAATGGGCACTGGTGAAGGTACGGGTGTTTCATTATATGACCGAGACTTGGACCCGAAAACTTCGTAACTGCTCTCACGGTGATTCAATAAATAAAATTATAAAAAATGAAAAAAAAGTAAGGTGGAGTTCATGCACAATTCAATCAGCTAATCAGTGGCTGAATAAATAGCAGTACTCCTACATAAAAAAAATACCTTCAGACAAGTTCATGTTATTTTATTTGTAGTTGAGTAAAAAATTTTCAAACAGGCTTGTTTTCTCATGCCCATATTTTCCCCTGAAGACATATTTTTCTTTGTGTTCTCTGTCTCTTTACTTGCCTTTCAAGCCCTATTTTCTCTCAAACACATGTTCCTCTCTTTCTCTCTCCTCACATCCTTCTAATTAAGTTTCAGGAAAAAACTTTTTCTGAATAACTATGATAGCCAAAGTGACTTGAGTTAAGTGACAAAAACTCAAATTGTTATTGCAAAAATGGAAATAAGATTCTTTTCTACTATAAAATGATTCCTAAATTTTTAACTTCAGGTTTTTTTTAAGGTGCTTACTATTGATATATAAAAGCTACTTCATATGGAAAAATTGCCATTTATGGTTAAATCAGATTTACGACCAGCTATATATTTAATGTGAATTCTATATTCTGCATTGTAATTAAATAGAATTCCAAATAATGAGCAGACTATTGGCCTACTCTTGCAGATGCATAGCACTTGATATAAAGTTTTTCATGATTTCACTAAACACTCTCTTTAATATCATAAATTATCAGATTAGGTCTGGAATGAAATCTTTGTGCATTGCAGCTTTAAATGAATTTTTCCTTTGATTTATTTCTATTTTTGGAAGACAGGATGTAAAATTAGATACAAAAGTGACTGGAAAACTAATTAGCTAGTTGGTATTATTTATATATCTGAGCACAAAAAGAATTTCTTTGAGCTTGAAAACAAATGTGATTCCCAGATATTTCCGTCTTCAGCCCTTGTATAAGTTCCTGGTTTCTAGCAATGGCCAATTTGAACATAAGCCTGACTCAAATCAGGCATGTCTGAAATGGAAAGTTAATTCTCCTCCGTAAATTGCATCTCCCTGAACATCTCAGCTCAGTAAATATCACAACCATTTTCAAGGTGGCTCAATCCACAATCTTAGAGATGTTTCTAGATTCCTCTTTTTCCAGAGCCTTCAATCTTGACATTCTTTTCATTGGCAAATCCTACTGATTTTTACCTCCAAATCGTACCCTAAACCTAGCTAGTTCTTTCTCTCTATCACTCTCATGGTCCAAATCACCAACATTGCTCATTTGAGCTGCTTCAGTAACCACTCATTTGTCACCCTTCTTCACTTTTTGCTTGAACTCTTCTCCACAGAGGGAATGAAGAAAAATTATACTTGCCCCATAGCATTGCTTTTCTTCCCGAGATGATTCATAAGCAACTTAATTTTACTTAAATAGCTTTAGTTTGCATCACACAATGAATCACTTTCATCTCAGAGGAAAGTTGGGTGTAACCAATATTTAATCGTATTAAAACATGGGGTTATTTTATGTTTTGTCATTTAATCAAAGGATTAGAAAACATAGACTGTTACTCATTATTATAACTATAAGGTAAAGAAGTAGCTTTCAAAGTAAAAGAAACAAATCAATGAATGTTTCGTTGTGCATGTTTTACCAAGGACTGAAAATAAACAGATTCTCTTTGTTTTATTTGGTTTGGGGCCACACCAGTGACGCTCAGCACTTACTCTGGACTCTGGATTCAGGGATCACTCTTGGGGGAGGGGAGTGGAGTATACAAGATGGTGGGAATCAAACCCAGGGGGTCACATGCAAAGCCAGCGTCCTACCCCTCTGTGCTCACTCTCTAGCTTCACACATGCTTTTTTATAAATAGAAGTGATAGAGTGTTTGTCTCTTTATTTCCTTTCCCTGGGAGAAACTTTACTACTCTCACCTCTGTACAAAGTGGACTTCCCATGCTGTTAGTATACATTTGTGACTGTGCTAAAAAAATGTGAACATTTGGGCCTAAATCAAATGTTATTTTCTCTCCATTTCACTGTTATTTTAGGAAATGCCACAGATACTGCAGAAAAAGGTGTTAATTTGGTATCAAACAGACCCGAGTTTAAACTCATCTAAACTGTTTTCTGCTGGACAATTTACTTGAAATTGGACAGTTTCCTCATTTCTTAGAAGGGTGAAATAACGCTAAACAATCCGTTGATTTAAGGTTAACGTTGGTTTGAAATGACATGTTTATCTCCCATATTAATAAAAATCTCATAATTGAGGGAGTGAAATAATTACAACCATGAGGTACTTAATTGACACAGATTTATTTTGGGGTCAAGGGGATTGTCCTCTATTCCTTCCCAATCCCCCCCTCACAGAAAAATGCTGAGTCAGAATGTGACTTACCTCCGCTGCGTATCTTACTCCATCAACCACATGTTCTGAGCCGTGATCATCATCGGATCCCCAGTGAAGATGAAACTGCCGTAACCTGTAGCTTCCAGTGAGGGGGCCCCCACGCAGAACTAGAGGTCAATACATTTTAAATTGTTAGCAAGAAAAAATTGGGGAGCTCCCATTCACATATCTCAAAACTATTCAACATGTCCTTGTCCTCCAAGGATTTTTTTTTTCCCCAACATATATCATTTTGCTGACAGAATACACATTTTAGGTACGTGAGGAAGGAATGAAAACAGATTTATATGGAACGCCTAGAAAATCACAATGACTTTAAAAATGGTCAAAACAGAGAAGAATCCAACACTTAAAGCTAGATTATCTTCTATCGAAATAACCTATCTAGTCAAAGTAGATAGAGTATTAACTAGAACTCATCTGCCTCACAATAATTGGGAGGGGTGGGAGGTGGGGGTCTATTGGGGTTCGGGGTTAAAAATGAGTATTGGTAAAGGGAAATGTGTTCGGTATCTACATGACTGAGACCTAAACCCGAAAGCTCTGTAACTTTTCCCACAGTGATTCAATAAATAAATAAATTATAAAAAAAAAAAAAAAAAAAAAAAAAAAAAAGCTAGATTAGCAAAGCTCCCCTGTGACTAATGCAACTAAGAATTCATTACTCTTTACATATTCGGGCTCCACAGCTGAATGTTTCAAATACTGCCTTAAAAGCAGGTGGAGGGATGGGTATTAGATCATTGAAACCCAAGCACAAAAATTTGTAAGTCTACAACTGTACCTCATGGCATCTCACTAATAAAAATTTAAAAATAAAAATAAAAGCAGGAAAAAATCAGTAGGTATCTTTAGTTGTTGTTATTCTGTTTTGTTTTGTTTGAGGGCTACTCCTGGCAGTGATCAAGCTCTACTCCTGGCTCTGTGCTCAACGGATCACTCCTGGCAGACTCAGGGGACCCTGTGGTGTGCTGGGGCCAAACCCGAGTTGTCCATGCACAAGGCAGACATCCTACATGCTCTACTATCCCTACAGCACCGCACCCCCCCTCCCCCGCAATTAAGAGTTCTTAAAGGTAAGTAATTGCTCTGTTTACCACAGAATTTCAGGTTCTCAGACTTGGGGTGTGATATGCCGAGAGGTCTATCCTGGACTTGGTAGAGCAGTTTGTGGTTAGAGAACAGGTAGGCCTCAGCGTGCAGAATACCTGAGCTCAGACTCTCTTTGCTAACTATAATGTGTCCTGATCTGTTTCACTTCAGAGGATCAGCTTTTCTGTCCGTAACTTTAATAATACAGGAATTCTATCTTCTAATGCTGCAGCGAGAACAGAAAAGGGGAATTTGAACAGCAAGCACTGATCACTGCCGCCCCCCTCCTCCCCCCCCCCCCCCCCCCACACACACACACAGCACGCTAGACAAGCTATCTAGGAATAAAATTTTATTGTTGACATTATTTCTCACAAAAATTGGCAAAGTGTATCTTTTTTAGAAATCTGTCTTCTGGGGAAGCATGAAATATGAAGCAAAATTTACTCTGACAGTATTTTAAATCACAAAACCTCAATCAAGAAAAGTGAAAAGGTAAAAGGTAAAGGCCCTCCCGTTGATTGTCGATTTGCTCGAGCGGGCCCCAGTAACGTCTCCATTGGAGACTTTGTTGTTACTGTGTCTGGCATATCGAATACTCTCGGTAGCTTGTGAAAGGCAAAATAAATTTTCTTTCTTTCCAGAGATTATATAGGCATGTAAAGGAAGTGAAAGATATTAAGAGGTAACTAACACATGTACTTTTCTACAAACGGGAAGAAAAGGTTAGGAGAATATTGTGTATTTCTTCTTGAGCTATACAATCAAGAGGGGAATGAATGCTCTATCTTGACCTGTTTTGACTCAGTTGAAGTTCATCATCACTGATTATGAATTGATCTAGCTGTTGGAATCAGCAGACTTGGGAATTGTCCCAGCTCAACTTCTAAATTAGGTGATCTTTGACGACGCACTTAAAGCCTCTCTAGCCTTTGGTTTTCTTGTCTGTGTTTGTATGTTTGAGTCAATCCAGTTTATAATTAGGAGATTGAGCTGGATGCCCCTTTGCTTCTATAATTCTTAAAATTGTCAAGAGAAGAGATTTATCAGCCTAGGTATTGGAATATTTTTGGAAGGCTGAATGGTTGGGCTTCTTTTGGATTCACTTGGAAACAGATTTTTTTTATATATACAATAAAGAAAGCTGTTTTTAAAGTCCTCTAAAAAATGAAAGAGAAGAGAGAATCACTTCCTTTAGACTCTATGGTTCAGTCTTGCACTATGCTGTTACAAACAAAATCATTTTACTTGTTCTTCTCTCACTGGACAATGACCATTAGGGCAGAGGTGCTGACTGAGATGTTCTCTGAGAACACTCAAAATCCCTAGCACAGTGATTCCCAGAGCATGCAGAATATATGTTTGATGAATCAATGAATGAATACAATATTTAACAAAACTTTTAAAATTTTTTTTATTTTTATTTTTTGCTTTTTGGGTCACACCCAGCAATGCTCAGGGATTACTTCTGGCTCTACACTCATGAATTACTCCTGGCTATGTTCGGGGGACCATTATAGGATGCCGGGGATTGAACTCGGGTAGGTCACATGCAAGGCAAATGCCCTACTTGCTGGATTATCACTCCAGCCCCTTGACTAAACTTTCAAACAGTTTGAAAGGAAATTCACAGATAAATGAATTTAAATGCTCATTTCCTTAACTGACTTCATATAGTATTAGCATTCCACATAAGACGAAATCAACAACTGTGTTATTATCCATTTGTTATTGTTACAGAATAGGACTTGTGCTGAGTCATGAAGTTATTCCTACAGAGATAAAAAGCGGTGTAGAGTGCTTGGTTTGGGGAGGAGATTCAAACAGACTGGCTCAGAAGAAAGGGATACCCTTATATTGTTAGGACACCGGAGTCGATCTCTGGATAACACACTCTGAATCCAGGCTTGAAAACCAAACTAACACAGCTCTGACTAGTTACCCAACCAAAAAAAAAAAAAAATTGCATGCTCTTGTATATCTGGACAACCTGGGAGTATTTCTGCTAAAATACCCAGTCTGGGATATCAATCAGCAAATACCTACTTGAAAAGATCATCCACTAAGTCAATGATTCTCAGATAAATAGAAATATCAAGGTTAGTTCATCACAGACTTTGAAATAGTCCAAATAGCTAAATGTTACATCAAGTGAATAACAGTGATACAATTCATCTTCAGTGAGAACCATTTAGTGTTTCCAAGTATTAAACCTTTTCCAAAAGTGGTGAGAATGAGGAGGAGAGAGAGAGAGAGAGTGAGAAAGAGAGAGAGAGGAGGAGGAGGAACGAAGAAGAAATATTGTTAGCATTACATGGTTAGAAAATAAAAATCATTTCTCCAAAATCACAATTGGAATATAAATCTATTGCCTATTTATTCTTTCATTAAAACCTTTTACTAAAATAAATTATAAATTATAGACCCAGAGATTAAGGAATTAAAATAAATGCCATGAAAGTTTGGGAAAATGTTAATATCTAATTAGTGGGGTCTTCGCCGTTTATATATATATTGAGAAGACCAACAATGTGATGAAATTAGAAATGAACATGATCCTTACTGAATCTGGCTTTCAAACTTTGTTCATCGAGGTTGGGAATGTGATTCAATGGTAAAGAGCATGCCTTCACTAATAAGGGTTGGGTTTGATCCCTGGCACAGAAAAAAATAAAATAAAAACTAAATCCTGAATGAGTAGATACAAACACAAAGTTATGAACTCATTTGCATAGCACCTTAACTTTCATAAATTGTCTCTCTTTATTAATCTCTCTCACTCTCTCTCACGCTCTCTCTCTCTCTGGGTGTCTCTCTCTCTGTCCTCTATCTCTCTCTCTCCTACCCTTTGCATTTTCCTAAATAAGCCAAATTTACTTCAAAAATAAACAAAACAAATGTTTGTTAATCCTTCTCTCTTTTTTTTTTCTGAAACTGTCCAGTTGTGTACTGACTGAAAAGAATAAGCTCATAAGCAAGGTGGCAACAAAATCAGAAAAAGAAATTCTTTAAAATCCAATACACTTGGCTGTTTATGCATCCAATTGTATTTTGAAATAAATTTAGAGAACTGATATTCTTTTTTGCAGAATTTTATTGATTAAGGGACTGTGAATTACAGTATTGTTAATAATGAGAGCTGGTATTCTTAAGAGAGTTTTCTTGAGACTAGTGAGGCCAGAGTTTTGCTGGCATCTAACCTGCTTCAATTTCTGACACCATATATCCCCACCCCAGCTCGTCAGGGTGTGCACCAATGGGGGCAGCCCAGGTATTCCCAGCACTACAGGGTTCAAACAGCACAACAGTGTCTGTGGGCCTTGCTCTGAACCACTGACCAGGTCAGCTGAAAAATCAATAGCAGAGCCTGAGAAAGAGACAAAGGGAAGGTAGGAAGGAAGGGGGAGGGAGGGAGGGAGGTAGGAAGGGAGGGAGAGAGGGAGGGAGGGAGGAAGGGAGGGAGGAAGGGAGGGAGGGAGGAAGGGAGGGAGGGAGGAAGGGAGAGAGGGAGGGAGGGAGGGATGGAGGGAGTGAAGACGGGAGGGAGGGAGTGAAGAAGGGAGGGAGGGAGTGAAGGAGGGAAGGAAGGAAGGAAGGAAGGAAGGAAGGAAGGAAGGAAGGAAGGAAGGAAGGAAGGGTGGGAGGGAGGGAGGGAGGGAGGGAGGGAGAGAGGGAGGAAGGGAGAGAGGGAGGGAGTGAAGAAGGGAGGGAGGGAGTGAAGAAGGGAGGGAAGGAAGGAAGGAAGGAAGGAAGGAAGGAAGGAAGGAAGGAAGGAAGGAAGGAAGGGTGGGAGGGAGGGAGGGAGGATAGAAGAAAGAAAGAAAGAAAGAAAGAAAGAAAGAAAGAAAGAAAGAAAGAAAGAAAGAAAGAAAGGACAGACTAGTGAAATGAATCAAATCCACAGTTTAATCATTGTCAGCCGGTTTCTGAAGTAAAGTTATGTTAACAGCACATCTGTGTTTTGCTTAGTATCTAGGAAAAGCAAAACCACAGAGCACCAATCTGCCAGGATTATTTATACCCTGAGGAAAGCAGAAGGCAGAGATGATCCCAGTCACTGGGCGTGAATTCTTACTGAGCCAGGAAAACCTCCACTCAGGCTGGCTTCTTTGGCTCTCCTACTCTTGCTTATTTGCTTGTTACTCCTCCATTCAACAGTTCTTAAGGGCTCACTATAGGCAAGCAACTGTGTTATTATGTGTTGTTATCATGTTATATATAACATATATGTTATATATGTTATGGTACTTCATGACATGTGATGTTCAGGGCTTACTCCTGGCTTTCACTGCTACACATGAGCAAGACCAACCGTAGCCTCAAGGAACTTGCAGTCTAGAGCAAGATACATAATCATAATCAAGTTTTATACACGAAATTACCATAAGTTGCCAATTCCATGTCCTAAGTCTCTTGTTTCGGGGGTAAAGGTAAAGGTAAAGGCCCTCCCGTTGTTCATCGATTTGCTCGAGCAGGCCCAGTAACATCTCCATTGGAGACTTTGTTACTGTGTTTGGCATATCAAATACTCTCGGTAGCTTGCCAGCTCTCCGGGAGGGGCGGAGGAATCGAACTCGGGTCGGCCATGTTGGCTGCGTGCAAGGCAAACGCCCTACTGCTGTGCTATCGCTCCAGCTGAGTTATTCTCTTGTCTCCCCCAGTCTTCATTATTGTCATTTTCGGTTTTTTTATATTTAATTTTAAAATGTTGTGAATTTGGATTATTTAGGTGGTTACTTAAAACTAGCTAACACTAGAATTAGATAGAATGAGATCATCTAGAATTAGATAGAATTCGATTATCTAGCATTAGATAATCAGATAATCAGATAATCTTGTCCTGCACACAACCATCCTGGGTTTGATCCCCAGCATGGCCTGTGGTCCCCAGAGCACCACCAGGAGTGATCCCTAAGCACAAAGTCTGAATATAGCTCTGTGTACCATCAGGTACAAGCCCCAAACAAAAAGAATTATATTAAAATTAAATGAATAATTATGACAATGAATAATCCTTCAACATTTATGTGCCACATAGTAAGGATTAAGTAACAGCTATCTTGCCACAAATGTATTTAACGGATATTCATTGAGTACTACTGAGTCCCTTCACCGCGCTAGGTAGATGAGTGGAACAGGGCTATTGCCACAGGAAGGCTTCCTTGGAGTGAAGAGAGCACCTAGAAGCAGCTGCCCTGGGCTATGGGACCTTCCAGGAGAGAACAAGCTCAGGATGTTATGGAATGAGCAGCCACTTGGGTAAGGTTTCTGGGTTAGACCCAGTAACTGAGGTAAGCACTCCTGTCAGCCATCAGCAGACATTCCCTCTCCTATTGGCCAACAGGAATTCTTCCAGAAGAATTTGACAGCCATCTGCTCCCTCTTTCAAGGACTATTAAGGAGACCCCAAGCAATAAGACTGAGAGTAGGGCTCACAGAGCTAAGCATAGCCCCCAAAGCCCTAAACCAATCAATCAATAACTAATCAAATCAGGCAGGGTAGTTTGCACAGGCAAAATAAACTCGGTTTCATGCTGTGGTTGGCAGAATTCTGGACTGGTTTGGGTCAACAAAGCATCTTTACAAACTCAAAGGAATTCACCTCAGAAACTACTCTTGTGCTTTTTATAGTTGACCAAAAAGAAGTTGGCAACAACTTATTTTAAGCGAGAGTGGTTTCTAGTATTTTAATTGATTTAATCGCCCAAATCACCACAAGACATTCTCTTTCTTTATCTTGAGGAAAAAGAATGAGAATCTTGGCCCATATTTATGCAGCTTCTGTCTCTGAGGGATATAAAGTACTTTATGGGCATTTTTAATTATCCCTGGTAATTTCATTGTGATCTAAATAGATACAAGACCTTCATTTATGGGGAAGGGCACATACTTGTCACGGTGTCAGAACCGGAAATGGATGAAACTGATTCTCCTGAATACCCCCCACGATAGAAAGAAAAGGAGAACAAGAGAAGAGAGAGTGAGATATGGACAGGAAAAAAGAGAGGAAGCAAAAGTGAGAGAGAAAGGAGGAATCTGAGTTATTAACTATGAAAATCAGAAAGGAATTATTCATGACTACTGAAAAAATTGTAAGCTTTTTAGCTAAAGTACAATATGATCAATTTTTTTTTCTAAAGGTAGGAATGAGTAGCCAGTTATTTCATCTCTGAGGTATTAAAAACAGAACCAAAAGTCTATTATGGATGGTGTAAGCTATGTATTATATATCAATACGATATGTACAAAAAACAAAATAAGCTAAAAATACCATATTTCATTGTGTCACACATCTTTTACAGTGTTCTGGTGACATGATGCCACTTTTATTTTGGATTTGACAAATATATGAAGTAAATCATTTTTCCAGGGAGGGAACCATCTCTGTTCTGGCCAGGGAGGGATTCAGACACACGCTATACATGTGCTTTTCCACTTGAGAGAGAACTTCTGGGGAGCTTATCATTTTTGCTAACAAAAGAACATTTCATAAATGTGGGATGTCAAAGAAACATTTCAAAAATATAGAATATTACTAAAAATAAGTCTGGTTGAATGAATAAATACTTTCAATTAAGTGTTTTAATGGTAAACATGTTTTTCATTCACAAAGCAAATACAGCTTCTTCCTACTATTATGCTAAAAATAAAAAAATTATTAGTGCCTTAAAAATTGTTCCAAAATAGATTCTTTTTATCTGTTCTCTCATCTTACTTTTAAATTTGATTCCATCTATTCCTTTGGAAGTAGACAGGCCTGAAGAAGGATTAAATGTTCAATTCAAGGAAACTCTCTGCTTTTTTCAGGTAATCAGCCAATAAAGTTTTATGTTTGACTGAGTGTGTATTTATGGTGTGAAAGATACTAGCCATGAACAGACCAAACAACACTTTTATTTCAAATTCTAACAAAGTACTAACAAAGAATATTCAGTGCATGAGTGCTTTAAATACCAAAGACAAGAAAATATTGTTCATCATCCAAGCCCCTCAATCCACAGTAAATAAATAAGTAACCTGATTTGTCCTCTGTATCGTCAAAGTCAACGTTGAAGGAATGGCCACTGTTACTGATGATCTTAGCTGAGCTGGCGTCATATTTTATAGTAAGAGGCCGAAGAGAAGAATCATATTTCACTTCTTTGGTCTTAATCTCAATCGGAGATTGTTGATCCCCGTCGGCAATAGGGAAAAACTGATTCCAATGAATAGGACCTTAAATATACAGATGAAAATTAACTAGATAAGTTGTTTCATTGAACAAATATTTGTCGAGCACAAATAAATGCAAAGTGGCTGAGATCAAAGGAAAAGCAGAGCTGGATAAAACAAAATATTCATCCTGAAAACCTCGTAGAATTGTTCATTTGTTTTTAATATGGGAATGGAAACTCTTACCTTGCTCTGATTCATTTCCAGAATGATAGACTAAAGAACATGTAAGTTTTACTTTCCAAAGTAAAGGCTTTTCAAAGGTACCCTTGTACCAAACTAAAAACAACAGCACAATTCATCCCTGTAAACAATGAGATTCATTCTCAGATCCAAGAATGAGCTGAGTTAGCTCCGAAGGTCAGCAAGATTGTAATCTGGAAGAGTCGGTACTGCTGAGTAAAGTGAAGGGCAGAAAAAGGATGTAATTCTTAAAGATGATACCCCTCCTTCCTTCTTTTGCCACTCACTGGGATCGTCAGGTGTCATCCAGACTGCAACTCAGTTACTTGTGAGGGGAATCAGGCAAGCTTAAGAAACACAAAGAGGTGGGGGATTTTTTTGCATAGAATAATTCAAATAAAGTGGCTACACTTGGTCATAAACTATAAAAACATAGATTGCCACGATAAAGTCAGAAAGCAATTTCTCTCTACATTCCAGTAGACGTGTCTCCAGGAATTTTACCAGTGTTACATTTGAAGTCCAATAAAAGGAGCAACTGTTACCCTGCTAATCTAGTCCAAAAATCAAAATGCCATCAAGTTCCCAAATCAGATCCATGTTTGGCAACCTGATGTGACCCAAGCGAGAGGACTGCCCTTGTAAAGTCTTGTTTCTGGGAAGACTTGATTCAAGTCCTGTCTCTCAAAATCAACAACAAGGTTGCAACTGCAAGTAAGCTCCGAGCAGTTCTACAAGAGGTGACTCACTTTATAGGTTAGAGGCACTTATTATCTCTCTGATTATGCCTGCAATTTACAAGGCTACCCCAAGGTAAGTAGAGCATGGGACCACTGACACTTTTTCCTACTTCATGAATCAACTGACTTGATTTCTCTAAATTCAGGCACGTACTTCTGAAAATGGTACAGCATGATGGTCAAACATTTGTCACTGACAACTTCTGAAAGATTTCAAGAAATGCAAAGAGACCACAATTATCAGTTGCTCCATCTCTAAATCTAATGCTACTCATCACTTCATTTTTGCAATGGAGAAAAATTGATTTCTTTCATAATTGTTTCAGGTGGGCTGGAACGATAGCACAGTGATAGGCTGTTTACCTTGTGCGCAGCCAGCCTGGCCGAGCCAGGTTCGATTCCTCCGCCCCTCCTGGAGAGCCTGGCAAGCTACCGAGAGTATCTCACCCACACCGCAAAGCCTGGCAAGCTCCCCGTGACGTATTCAATACACCAAACACAGTAACAACAAGTCTCAAAATGGAGACGTTACTGGACCCGCTGGAGCAAATCGATGAAATTGTTTTAGGTACAAAAAAATCACAGCTTCCGCATATAACCACGCGCAGTTGAAAAGTTTTTCCCTCGTGGTATCAGAGAGATGGTTGCATAGGCTACAGAGCCAGCTTTGAAGCAGGAGATCATGGTGCAATGCATCACATAAGGGTACCTCTCCCTGAGCACTGCCAAGAGTCAACCCTGAGCACTGACCCACGAGTAGTTCCTGAGCACTGCTGGGTCTGATGTCAAAACACAAAGTTTTTTTCAAAGTGTTTGCTCATGAATCTGGCAAGGAAGACAAGCGACTTGACACCAAAGCCCTTATTACAGAAAAGGTATGCACAGCATTCTCTTTTGATTACACAGTAATTTTTGCCTTTCAAGTGTTTTTTGTATAGAATTTCTTCCCTTTTCCATATGAAACATGTTTTCGATTTTGCTGTTTCTGCCTCTGAGGTAATCTGATGTGAGTTAGATTTCAAATATGTGGCATCTGTGTCACAACATGTTGTTGACTTGTTTCCAATCTGGAAAGTGTTTCTTTCTATCAGTTCCTTTGCTCTCCTTCCCCCACTTTTTTCAGCAAGAGCTATTTATAGAAGGACGCACAAGCCAAAATAAAATAAAACTTTTCCATGCTAGATCAAGTGCTTTATATTATCTCTTAGTCACCCTAATCGACCCATTGCCCTTGCCCCTGAAACTCATCTTCTTTTCTTTGGATTTCCAAAACAGCCAACTTTAAGCCCATAGACACATAGTTCTTAAGTTGGAGTGTATGATTCTTGATACAAGATGTTTCCCACTGACTCAGAAATTTTTCAGTATCAATAATGATATGCTCAAGGCTGGAGCGATAGCACAGCGGGTAGGGCGTTCGCCTTACAAGCGGCCAACATGGCCGACCCGAGTTCGATTCCTCCGCCCCTCTCGGAGAGCCCGGCAAGCTACCGAGAGTATCTCGCCTGCACGGGAAAGCCTGGCAAGCTCCCCATGACGTATACAATATGCCAAACACAGTAACAACAAAGTCTCCAATGGAGACGTTACTGGGCCCGCTCGAGCAAATCGACGATCAACGGGAGGGCCTTCACCTTACCTTTACCTAATAATGATATGGAGCTGACCCTCGCCCTAAACTACATCAATACGTTACCAAGGATTTGTAGGAATTGTGATGTGTGGGAAGTTACTCTTTCTTTTCAACACCTCACTTCTCTCTTTGTTTCATTTCATTTCATTTTTTAAAATTTTGAGGCCACACCTGGTGGTGCTTAGGACTTATTGCTGGCTCTGAATTCAAGATTCACTCCTAGCAGTGCCTGGGGTACCATATGGATGCAGCGGGCAAAGCAAGTATCCTATCTGCTGTATTATCTCCCCAGCTCCGCACTTCTTGGTGTTCCATTTTGCATTGCTACTATTCCCAAAGCCTGGCAAGCTACCCATGACATACTCAGTGACAAAAAGTCTCAAAATGGAGACATTACTGGGCCCGCTCAAGCAAATCGATGAACAACGGGAGGACAGTGGACAGTGGACTATTCCCAACTTAAATTTCCTTTTCTCTGCTCATTCATTGCTTTTGTCAATGTCTAAACAGAAAAGGCAGCTAAACTGACTAGAACTGCCCCATCAGGACACGCCACATTGCCAAAAGAATTTTCCCAAGTTGAACGACTTCAAGGTGTGGCCCTAAGAAAGCGATTGCGTCTGAAATAAGGGACTGGCACTGCAATTTTCTTATTGCAGAAATACACAATTACTTCTTGCTAATGCATTTTCTAAGACATTTTTTCCGTCTATTTTTTTGGGAGTCACACCTGTCAGTTCTCAAGGCTTACTCCAAGATCTGTGCTCAAAGATCTGTGTTCCTGGTGGGCTTGGAGGAACACATGGGTGCTGAGGACCAAACGGGATGGGTTACATACAGGGGAAGGCCCAAACCACTGTACTATCGCTCCAGCCCCTTTGACGTCTTTTTTATATTTCTGAAGATCAGCTTCATTGGAGCCAATTTTTTTTTATGTATAAAAGGCTACTCAATATTTATTGATTGAAAATACCATTTTCCCTAACCACAACAAAGCTACCGTTGGCACACAGTAACTATTAAATAACAACAACAAAATCTATTCCAGCAGAGAAAAGAATTAAGAGAAATGTGCTTTGTGGGCTTTTCTCCAAACATAAATTGCAAATTAACAAAATGTAACATGATAATTAGGGTCTTGGGCAAAAGTATATCTATCTTAATTATACCTTTCATTATTAAAGCTAGAAGTTATAAATTTATCTGTAATATAAAGTTCACCTGCTGTCATTTTTTTAAACAGGGAAGTAAGTTATAACCTCAAAAAAAATTACAATTGTAATTGAAACCTTTGTGTTTCTTTGTCAATGTAAACTTTTTTTTTATAAAATGTGTGCAGTACGGTTTAATAATATGCATGATAATAAAAGTATTGTTACTGCCTGTTTGACACTGATTCATATCAGACTTCCTTGATGTCACTTTACAGTTATTTCAAATAATGGTTATATTATTGTTCAAGACTGGAAAAGTGGTTTACCTTTCAACATTTGGGATTAAAAAAAAAAAAAGGAAAGCATTCCCACCCCCCAATAAATTTAGTTTTACCAACTAAATCAATTCCCCTTTGCTAAGCTCCAATCTCTGCAGGGATGAGCGTGGAAGATGAAGGAAGAGAGACCAAACCCAAAAGATAATTCTATTTACCAGAAGAAACGTAAAGGCAACAGCAGCCATCAAAGAATTGCAAAGTGCGATGAGAATTTGCACCGTGACAGCTATTGGGAAATTGGCAGTACCTGCGTTGCCAAGAAGGGAACTTAAATCTGTGTTGCAATTCAAGCTATTAAGATTTCCTAAGCATACTTGCTAGGTTTTTCCAGGACAGGCTTCTTCTCCTAAGTGAATAATGCGCTTAAAGAAAGACTGAAAGCAAAACTTAGCCTCAATTTTTTTTTTTTCCAAATGTGTCCTGACTTCTCATCGCCTTTTTAACTCATGGCTCAGTAGCTGGAGCGAGGGAAAGGGTTTGCTTTTCCAAATGCAAAACGAACGGGCGGGCGGGCGGACGGGAGGATCATCGGGAGGTCTGGGCAACCCCCGCAAGCCAGCAGCAAGAGCTCTGGGGCTACCTCCGCTTCCTGCCTTCTTCGACTCCACCGACGGCAACACAGTTTCAAAGAGGAACTGAAAAAGTTTCTGCCAGTGTGTGATTGACAGCCCGGGGGTTGCTGAGCCTCCCTGCCCGCCGCCCGCAGCCCACCCCGCGCCAGGTGCTCACCGTTGTGCTCATCGTAGCCCCAGCTGAGCCTGGACATGGTCCTCCGGGGTGGCAGGCGGAGACAGATGTGGCCGGGCTGCGACGGGAGGGAGGCGGCAGGGCGGGTGCGCGAGGGGGCGGGCGGCCCGGGAGCTGCCAAGGGCGGGGACCGCGGGGTGCAACTGGGCAGAGGTGCGAGCCCTTGAACTCCCGGCTCGGTCCCTTCCCGGATGCGGCCGCCAGGGGGCGGTGGCGAGCGAGAACTGGGCGCCGAGCGCCAACGCTTTGGCGTTTGCAAAGGATGATGAGCAAGTTGGCGGACCTGGAGGGAGAGGCAGGAGAAAGAACTGGGAGCAGGCTTTCCAGAGAAAGGGGATTTCCTGGCTTCTGGGAATTGATCATCGTCGGTGGGGGATGGAGCGCTGTGCTGGGAAGAAATGAGTCACTGGGACGGGCACCGCTGGTCCCCGGGAACCGGGCTGTGGCTGCGACGTCTTTGGTGATGCTCTTGGGGATGTTGGTCATTCACCAACGCACAACAGTCATGGTCACGCTCGTGGTCAGGACCGTGACGTTTTGCTACTTTTTCTTTTGTTTTGTTTTGTTTTGCAATAGATCCTTTCAACTGTTCCTTTGTGGAAGATACTGCCAGTTTCCACCCGCCACGGTTAAGAAAAGGGGAAATGAGACATTAGGAGAAGCTCACGCCCTACTCCAGTGGCACAGCCTAACCGGGGCTGAGAGTCCTAGCCTTAAAGGGAAACCTAGATCTCCCCGCCCTGAATCAGTTCCTCTACCTGCCCTCTCTTTTTGTTTGCTTTGTTTCGTTTTGTTTTTTGTTTTTTGGGTTTTTTTTTTATGGACCACAACCCCTGGTGCTCTATGTTCTGGGATCATTTCTGATGGTGCCAGGGATCAAACAGGGATTGATTAGGGAAAACCCCTTAACCTTAGCTAATCTCTCTCACCCCACCCTCTGCCTTTCATTCTTTGCAACCCTGTGGCCTGGGGGAGCCAGAGCATCAAACCGGATCATTCACTGAAGCTTGGTCCCAACATTTTATGGCCCTATGGACCTCGTGGAGAGAAAGATTCACTTTTCTTTTTTTGGATGTTTGATCTGCAACTGAGCAGAACCAGTGTCTGTGGTGCCTCCAGGTACTGTCTGGGAGGAGCGGGTTGTAACCTCTGCTTTCAGCAAAAGCTAAAGAGAACGGGATGACCCACCAGGGTTATAATTTAGTGTTTCATGGCATTTAGCAAAAAAGTCTGGAAGCAGCTAGTGTTCAGGGAGTTGTAGGGGAAAAGGAACCCAACCTTCATCCTCTGTGTGTGGGACTTCTATGGAAAGCAATAAGGAGATTGCTCCCAAAAAGTAAGAATAGAACTCCCAGCTGACCCAGTAATACCTCTTCTTGACATCTACCCCCAGCACACACACACAAAAAAACATAATTTGAAAGGATCCGTGCACACCTACTGTTCACTGCAACGTTGAGTAGAAGAGCCAAGATATGGAAGTAACCACAGGCCCAACGACAGGTGAATGAATCAAGAAGATATGGTACTCACACACAACCGAGTACTATGCTGATGTAAGAAGGAACAAAATCATGCAATTTGCAGCAACTAGAGGATGGATGAAACCGGGGGATATCATGCTGAGTGAAGTCAGTCTAAAGAAAAATGACAGACACAAAATGATCTCTCCTATGTGGTACTTGGGCTGGAGCGATAGCACAGCGGGTAGGGTGTTTGCCTTACACGCGGCCAACCTGGCCGACCCGAGTTCAATTCCTCCGCCCCTCTCGGAGAGCCCGGCAAGCTACTGAGAGTATCTCACCCGCACGGCAAAGCCTGGCAAGCTACCCGTGACATATTCAATATGCCAAGCACAATAGCAACAAGTCTCGCATTGGAGACATTATTGGGCCCGCTCTAACAAATCGATGAACAATGGGAGGACAGGGCTACAGGACAGTGCTATGTGGCACTTAACAATACACAGCAAGGTAGTAACCAAAAGCAAAGGCAATAGGACCGGAGAACAGGGCTTACTAATGGATATGGGGTGGGACAGGGGGTAGAAGGAGGGGGTGGTCATTGGGGACTTGATGGTGGGTGTGGTGTTGAAATAATGTTTGCATGAAGCTCTCTTTAGCAGGATTGTAAATCACAGTACCTCAATAAAGGTTAAATAGTAACAATAATTTCCTGTTCTAGCTGCCTAAGGCTTTAAGCAGGATCAATTTGAGATGTCCAGGCAGAGAGGCAGCTGGCTGGCTGAACTCAGACTTTGCATGCAGGAGCCCCTAGTTCCAGCCTGCTGTTGTGTGGTTTCCTGAATTCTCCATGAGTGAACTGAACACAGACTTAAGAGTAACCCCCCCCACCCCCCGCCCCAAGCATTTCTGGGTGTGTAGCCCCACAAGTAAACAAAAGCAATTTAAAATTGAATTGTATAGTGTTACTTATGGACAAAGCAGGACAAGAAGCTTCATAAGCAATATAGGCATAAAGCAGAAACAGTGGCTGTTTAAGTTTTGTCTTGCCTATTTCCTTTACATCCACAGATGCAGCTGCATAATGTGGCAACTGCAAGAGCAAGGGGGACCTCTTTTGGTAACCATAGCGTGGTTTACGGTCACTGAAGCAGGATCTACTTGAAAATTCTTCTTTCGACCTGACTTAAATACCCCAGCATGCAGTTTATCCCTTCATCTGTTCCTGGAGTTCTTAAAGAAATTAAAAAAGTACAGGAACTAAGTATCTTTTTTTATACAGTATGATTGCAATTAACTTTTTGTTCCACTTGCATCATAGGGGGAAGCCTACATTTTCTCTTCCATTATTTCTGGTGCAATCGGTTGGTTGCATTTATGTCAAAGCAGCCTAACTAAGTGCCAATCTATTACACAAAAGCCAAGTTGTTAAGAATAAAGGCTAATTCTCTGTATCAAAAAAGACAATATACTTGTTTATATTCATATGTTCACACATCTAACAAAGGAATGCTCCATAATATACTCTAAACCCTCTGGAAAGTCAACAATAAGAGTAGTCAACTTGATTAGAAAGTGGGGCAGAGGCTGGAGCAATAGCACAGTGGGTAGGGCATTTGCCTTGCATGCAGCCAATCTGGGTTCGATTCCCAGCATCCCTTATGGTCCCCTGAGCACCGCCAGGGGTGATTCCTGAGTGAAGAGCCAGGAGTAACCTCTGTGCATCACCAGGTGTGACCCAAAAAGCCAAAAAAAAAAAAATTGGGGCAAAAGCCTTAACAAATTTCTGACCAGAAAACATATACAAATTGCAAAAAAGCACATAAAAGTTGCTGCATCTCCTATGTCATCAGGAAAATACAAATTAAAACAATGCTGAGATACCACCACATATCTCTGAGAACAGGTGAAAATCCATGAACAACAGCACCGAATGCTGGCAAGCTGTAAAGAAACAGGATAACTTATACCAAGTTGATGGTGTGAAAGAGTCTCTTTGAAAAACAGTAAGAGATTTCTTAGATACTCTAAGCATACGTTCCAGCCATCACACTTCTTAGTATTTGCCCAAATGAAAAGAAAGCTTATATCCATATAAAAACCTTCACTTGGATATGTATAACAGCTTTATAATTTCCTAACTTGAAAGAAAAGAGTCATCCTTCGGTAGAGAATGGATTGCAGTTCCTACCCCAGGCAAATGAATATATAACTGTGTTTTAATTTAGGTGCTAAGATTTGCAAAGATTTGTATAACATTCAGTGTCCATCTATATACTCACTACCATTTATCAGTGTTCCTCCACTTATGCCCCAGTCTTCTCTCACTGTCCACCCGACCTCCCTAGTGAAGTTATTTTTAAAAATTTACTTATAAAGGGGGCCAAAGTGATTGTGCAATGGTTTGGGTGCCTACCTTGTACATGGCTATTACAGGTTTGATCCCTGGTACCCCAATTGGTTCCCTAAACCCTCCAGTAGTGATCCCTGAGCACTGCCTGATGAGGCTCCCAAACAGTTTACTTATTAAGGTTTATGTCACTCTTTATTGTTTGGTTTTTGGATTTTTGCTATGGGCCACACCTGGTGGTGCTCAGGGCTTATCCCTGGTTCTGTGCTTAGGGATCACTCCTAGAAGCTTCAGGAAACTATATGGGGTGCCAGGATCAAACCTGTGTCAGCAGTTTGCAAGGCAAACACCCTACCGACTGTATTATCATTCCAGCTCCCAAATAGTATTGACTTCTACAGCTTTTACATACACTGTTACCTCACCTCTACACCACTGGAATGTCCAAGGCCCTTGACCAATGTCCCAGATCAGTCTCCCCTTCCTCATCGCTATACTCCAGTGTTAACTCTTCACTATCACACAGTACCTCCCACTCCCTTCTCTTGATACCCTGTATACCGCTGATGAGTGAGAACATCTGCTAGGATGATTGGATATAATTTAATAACTAAAAATAAATGGGGTGTCAAGTCATGAAAAGCCATAGAGGAAATCGAAATGCTGATTGCTAAGTGAATGAAGCCAATTTGTGTTGGAACCACTAAATGGTTCCAACTATGTGACATTCTGAAATGTCAAAACAGTGGCGACAGTTTTGAAAAAGATAAAATAACAAAAAGGCCTTGGTTACGGGGGTGGGGGTGATGGGAAGCCGAGGGATGAATAAAGTGTGGAGGATTTTATATGAAACTTAAAAATACTTCCTGTGACACTATAATTATGGGTTCGTTTGCCAAACCCATAGAATATAAAAACTTCAAGAGGTGGAAATAATATAAAACTCTGGACTTTGGACCATTACGATGCTCATATAGGTTCATCATTTGTGATAAATGTGGCCTTTAGTGATAATGGGGTAGACTGTGTTTGAGTAGGGGTGGAGGAGGAGTTCATAGAATTTTTTTTGTATTTTTCTCTCAATTCAGCCATAAATGTAAAATTACTCCAAAAACAAAGAAGGTCTTTTTAAAAATAAAACAAAATTAACTCACAAAAACTAATGTCATAAAAAATATATATATACACCCAAAACATACATGCAGGCATAGATTGCAGGTCTCACTTGCACTGCCAAATTTGTGATAGTCTGGCTGTCAAAGAGAAATAATGGGAGTAACAATGCAATATAG